TGTTTTCGTGACCACTACTGTCATTGTCGTGGAGTCCGTCGAAGCTGGGACAGAGGAGGTTACCGAGGGCGGCGGAAGGCTTTGAGTGTTGACCGACCAGCTCGAGTTCTGTTGAGCAAAAATAAAGAGCTCGAACGTTGTCTGGGGCCAGTTGCAGATCCAAGGCTTGTCTCCTGGTTGCGCTTCGTTGCCTTTGCTTTTATTGAAATCCTTGCTACCCCATCCACGGCGCATCTTCGCCGTACCTTCTGTAGTGGTAATGTTGAGTGAATTGTGGGGAAGAATGACGGTCTTCATGTAAGGGACGGCCTGGAACCAAGCAGGGCCCCGATTAACTTCAGACGTGTCATTGACCAGCACCAGTGCCCGAGGATTCACGAGCAACGCAGGCTGCTCGCCGTATGAGTAGACGTTGTTGAACATGGTGAGAGAGTGGTTACAGTTGATCGTGAATGTATAACCGTTTTGGGCGGAATGTTCAAGCGACAAGTACATGCCCGAGGGGACGAAATGGCAGTCCCAACTTTTCGACTGTGTAGGATCCTTAAAGCAGTTACTAGAGGCTTTGTCGAGCATCATAGGTATACCCCAGGTTCCTGTTGGAAGCGGAGCAAGATCTGTTGGAGTTGGTATGGGGACCACGTTGCTGGGAAAGGTTGTCCCCGATGAGGGTTTTCTGTTTTTATTTTAGCATGGTAATTAATATGATGTCGGATTATCAGGGCCGTGGCTTATCAACTTACGGATGGCTTTCCTTGGGTGGTGGTTTTCCATGATTGCTCAGCAAAACTCCGGCAACCGTGCCGGCAACGATCCCTACAATCACCAGAAGGCATAACGAGAGAACCAAAGCCCAATTAGGAACCACCCCAAAACACCACTGCTTTCTCATCCAACGCTTGAAAGGTGTTTCTTTTTCTGACAAGACGGCTTTTTCCCTATCGATCTGGTCGTTACTGTGGGTTGAATTGAAACTTCGCGTCGAAGCACGGGGGCGAGGAGCTCGCAGATCGTCCAGTGAGTCAAATTCCGGATTTCTGGTTGCAAGACCTAGACCTCCAGCGCCAGTAAGAACCTCTGCTTGCCCCGATTGCGCTACCGGCCCTGTCTCCTCCGTTTGACCTGTCTGTGCTGTCGCTACCGTCTGTGTTGTCGGTGATGCCTGTGTGGTGGGTAGTGTCTGAGTTGACAGAAGTGGTGCCTGTGTTGGCTGCGCTGTCGGTATTGTTCGACCCTCCGGCACTTCCTCAACGGGGTCAGGACCCAATGGAGGGGACGATGCGGGGGCGGCATCAGGAGCTGAAGAAGAAACGACAGCAGTAAAGGCATTGGGCGGACCGGAACTGGGAGCGCTGTCAGCAACCGGCGCAGGGGAAGGGTCGACAGAGTTCGAGCTGCTTCCTCCTAGGCCTGTATTGTCTCGCTCGGTGTAGGGTGGCAGCGGCTCGTGAAGCCCATACGGGCCATAGTAGTCGACTACTGGGACTTCGCCTTGCTGAGTTACGACTCGTCCGTATTGGGGGGCGTTATGCACATCTTGGGGATAGATGTGATAAGGAGAAGGATCGGATGGTCCGTGATAGGGATAACCCCTTGGTAAAGGATCAGAAGAGAGACCCAGTGGTGGCCCGAAGGGTAAGTTGCGGGTATATTGCTCGTAGACGTGAGAGGGACCTGGCGGCTGTATTGGGCCATTAACACTGGCGGAATGAGCGGCATCTATGCCCATATGTTGGGATGATAGGTTTGGGCTCGTTGCGCCATCGTGTCTCAAGGCCAGGGGATCTGCTGCTGAGCTTGCTGGTTTTGTTGGGCTTGGTGGACGAAGAGGGGCCTGTGGTAGTTCCGGAGAGAATGTGGCCAACGTTGATAGAGGAGTTGTCGCTGCCATACCAGCGTTCGCCCCAGATGAACTTTCTTGAGCTGGCCGCAATTCTGCCTGCGAAAAGGGCTGCGCTGGTAGTATCGGTGTAGATGTTGGCAACGTTGTCGTTATCCTTGCCTTACTCTGACGACCTCCTTGGCCCACGCCCTCGTCCCCCAATTCCTGCCCCAGTGCCACCACCACTGGGCTGGGGTCATGCGGTAAACTGCGTCGCATGTCATGGTCTGCTACCGAAGCCAGAGCCGGGTCCTCTGGATGAGGAAATTCGTCCATTCGTTCAGTCCGTAGAGTCAGCGAATGCCTCACTGACGTCCTCCGTGATCGCCTCCTCTCTGGCAGACCAAGCTTGCTGTCGCTGGGATCCATGGCCGCTGTGGACTTGGATTTGGTGTGCGCTGGCGCTCAGCGGCCCCGATGCGAAAAGTCAATAACGTCAGTCGATGTCAGAAGTACATCGGGCCTCTAAAGGCCATTGACCGCCCGCTTGGGAGACAATGGCACAGTCCTCCCCCTATGTTATGCGCCTCGCCGTAAGAAAGGAGTGTCGTTGAAATATAAGGCGGCAGAGCGGTAGCGAGGGAGGTACGTGAGTGGAGTAGACTGGGTGAGCTTTCGACTGCCTCTGGCCGAGTAAAGTGGTGAAATCGCCAAGAGAGGGCATAAAATGGAAGGTCCGGATTCAATGAATGCTGGGAAGGATCGGGCTGCGGAAACTGGGGGTTGCACGGATTGGGAAGGCGCAAAACAGACTGAAAATTGCAATGGGGCCAAAATGCGCTGCAGAATGGATCATTCCCGTCTGGTTTTTGGCCGGTTGTGTGTCCAAGGAAAAGGACGAGATCAAGCAAGAGAAAACCAGCTCCACGTTGTGGAAAGGGTGGAAAGAGAGAAAGACAGACCGAACGGCACAACCCCCCCGGGTCCGAACAATTCAGGAACAAGTGTTGTTAGGGAGGGTTGCACTCCTTGTGGCTCCATTTGAGGTTGCAGCGGTGCCGTTCCTGGCGGGCTGGGGGGGTCCGGCCGCCAAGCTTTTTATGTTCTTCTCTCCAGTCCCGGAGGGGAAAAAGGCTTGGCGAGATGAACCGGCCGCTCCCTCTTGCCAGTCAAGAACCCCAGAGTAACAAAAGTCCATTGAGTTTAGCTTGGCGGCACTTGAAGGTTGAAGATGATGGGCGGAAGGGGCGCCGAGCTGCACATCCATTGCAACCAAGGTAATGATGCATGCCAGCATCGGCTGGACTTGGACATTGCATTCAGCTGGGCTTCGTGTTGAAACTGGTGCTTTGGGTGACATTCAACGGACATGTACACTACCTACCTATGTATAGAGAATCCCGCCACATGGTGTGGGTAGATACCTACACTACCAGGGCTTGGAAAGATGGATAAAATTAAATCAGTGAACCGTTCAAGAGACTTCGTGATGGCCGAAGATCGTCGAGATTTCCCATTGTACACTACGCTAGTAGGCAATGTCGGTGGAATTACAGTAATCGGTTGTTGGCCATTCCCTTCGTGTCCTGGCTACCTCTATGCCATGAAATGCCAAGCCCCACTGGCTCCGTTTTGGCGTTCCGCTTCTCGACATCGATTTGATGTTTCAATGTGGCTAGACCCACTCCACTCCTTGAGCGCCATATTTGTGGGTTCAGAAACATGCTCTCGGTGGAGTCCATTTCAAGCACAACTTGACCCAGCGCCAAAGCCGCTGTCAAAGTGTCGAGTCGGGCAAGCTGTGGACTGAATGTCACCCAACAACAACAACAACAACAACAACAACAACAACAACAACAACTCCCTGTCGCAACTATTCTCTCCAACTTGGCGGCGCATTTCCTCGTTTGGCTCGAGCCTTATTTGACTTGGGCAAGTTGGAGACCCAAGAAGACAAGATCATGATACAAACTTATACATATGTCCCGTCCATTCCATCGCCGGTCTTCCGGTCTAGGTGACACGAGAGCTCACCGGGCTTCCCAGCCGGTACACCCGGAGGTCTGGGCACTTGACCATGAAGAGACTTGAAGGAACAATACTATGTATTAGGCTGGGAGACGATCCTGCTTGGTACGATCTCTTCTTTGCCCACACATGACCATGACTGGCTCAAAAGTCTGGCCAGAGACGGCAGAGTTGGGCCCGTTGTTACGGTCCTACAGACTGCCGAACCGCACCCCAGGTCAATATTCCTTTGGTCAGTAGCAATCTGTTCGGCTATTTTGCCTGTCACCCACGCGAGTTGGGCTTACTTGGTGCAAACACTACATATTCGTTCTCTCTGCTGTAAGTAAAGACTTCTCCACTTATCCTCAAGCCTTTCGTGCTTCAGAGTTCAAGGGGTTTCGAGTCCCTCAACTAGTAACGGACTAGAGCAGAAAGATGAGAGCCATACGAAGCCGGCTCTCTTTTCCGCCTCAAGTTCCATCAGAATTCATGACTGATTTCCCGGCCCACTGAGCTTGTGCTCCCTGTGACTAAACAGCTAATACTCTAACCAAGACGCCGACTCTTTACTTCCCTGCAAGTGTGTGTGATTCACCACCGCCAAGGAAAGAAAGACGAGGCAAAGGGCGATAATAAGAATGGATCAAGGGAAAACTGAGCGCTTTGCTAAGCCATATGGTCCTGACATGACCGTAGCTCGCTCATCACGTCATGCCTTATACTCCATCCCGCAACGAAAAGAAACAAAACACTCCTAGAGGTTTCACGCAAAACTGCTCTCTGCGTCAACAGGTACGCCAGCCACCACTCAGCTTGAACAAGCAAGCATAGTAGCAGCATGTTACATACAAAAACCTCGAAGGCGGGCGAGTCTCTAATTGGGTGCCAGCAACCTGGAATGTAGCTGCCCGTCTGGCCCTAGAGGGCCCTCGTTCTCCCATCTCTTCTCCATCAATCCTCTATGGTTTCTCGTATGCACAGCTTTCGGCGCTTGAGGCTTGTGTCTATGAGCACGTCCTTGAGAAGTAGGCGGGCAAGCGGGGCAGAAGTGTTAATAATTGGATGTATGCCCATCCGGTTGGAATCCTGCATCTCCAGTCAGTGGCCTTGGGAATAGAAAGTGGAAGCATGCAGACGGGTAACCGCATCTTGACCGCCAAGCTTGTGATCAGAACGAATGCACCCACCCTTTTAGCTGCTCTACGTCTGTTATCAGATGCCAGGACGGCCGCGCACCTTTTCCTGCCTTCCAAGTTCTTCATCAAAGCAGATGGCATCAAAGCGAGTGAATGTCATGCTTTTTGTGTTTTATTTTCCGACATGCGCCATGTAGTCCAGATGGTGTTGCCAGTGTCTTGATATCGGAGCGTGGCACGGTGAGCGCCGGCTTAAGGCCTGGCTTCAATCCAGCTCGTTGCCCAGCACGCCTTGACTGAGGAGCACTCTCTTCTCTTGCAACACCCTTACAACACCCTCCCAATCCTGCCGCCATCCACGGGAGTGGACATCACCAACTAGACATTTCCAAACGGCGACGAACCAGATGGCCGATGACGAACCACACATACAACTTGAAAGTCCAGTCTAGTCCCGTTCCTGAGGGCCAGGAGCTGTACGTACCTGCACAAATGCAAGTATTTCCAACAACACCTCTTGACGTTGACGCTGGTCTGTCTCTCGGTCTCCGTCTCCATCATCCCCATGCCTCCGTTGTAGGAAACATGCAGATGAACGGGCAGGCAGACAGAAAACACACCATTCCTCCCAGTCGGGCAAGGCCTGCTCCTTTCCAAACGACGTTCTATACAGGGGCAAGGCTGTAAGACAATTTCGTCATGACTCGAATGCGGGCGCGATGGTTTCGGTTGATTGCTCCGTCACGGCAGGTGTGTTCCAAGGGGACACTCTTGCAATAGTGCGGTCCATGTTTGTGTCTGGATATTTATCTCCGTCCCCAGCTATCTTATACTGCTGTTCTTGACCTTTCTCTTCACATCCAACAAGCTTGTCATTGTCAGTTGTGTCGTTGAGGTTTTCTATTCTGCTCTTCGTCCGATCAGCAAAGCTTTGTAGGGGAATTGGCCCTGTGTCTCATTTCTGAGACTGATTTTGCTCGAACGAACACAAGTACCTAACCCTAAAACCAACACTTCTCACGACCAGAACTGGACGCCCTCCTTCGCCATTACAAAGAGACACATAACATCCAACTGCGCTTGATCTTTCTCCTCACTGCTACATATTATACTTATATTTTCTTTATATCCAAAACCGATCAAACAAAATGTCATTCCGACCTTCAAGCCGCGCGTCTGCCTCCTCCACATCCTCCGGCTCCTCCATTCGCACCTGCCGCGAAAAGCGTGTTCCCGATTGCGCAGCTGTCGGTGCGCTCGTCTACTTTTGCGGTCGAAACCCGCGTAAGGTCAAAGCCGTGCGTGTTTACGAGACAACATATCTCGATAACGACACATCGGGAGATCTGGATTGCGAGATGAGGAGCAGCGCCAGTAGTTCCAAACGCTCTAGACGATCGGGGCTCTCGTGGGTCAGTAGCGACAGTAACTGTAGAAGAGTAAAGCAGGAGTTTTACTTTATTGAGTCAAGGACTAGTGGCCATGGGTCTGGTGCTGGTTACGAAGGGGGAGAGCAGCAGCAGCAGCAACCAGCGCAGGTAGCAGCGGCAAGGCAATGGAAGCCGCCCAAGAGTGGGAGTGAGAGGGAATCCCGTTCCTCAAAACACTCGAGTAAGAGCGGTGGTAGCCACAGACACAGTCATGGACATGGACATCGGGGGCGACAGGGACCGCCGAGTGCTACATCAGAAGAAGAAGAAGACGAGGGGAAATATGATGATGAAGAAGAAACGGACGACGGAAGTCGAAGTGTTTCCAACGAAATCAATTATCAAGGAGGAGGTCCCGGAGGCCCTGGTGCTAGCCCAAGTCCATTCCCACCTGGTCCTCCGGGTATGGTGCCCCCTCCTCCTACTTCTCATCCTCCCACTGGCGGGTACCCGGGGCAACCGATGTTCAATATGGGTGGTCCTCCTCCGCCACCGATACCACCAATGACACCACATGGACACGGGAGCTTTCATCATCCTCCGCATATTTTAACACCGGGAACTCATCCTCCGGTGATGTCAGGTGGTGGTGGTGGTGGAGGAAGAGGAGGAGGAGGAGGTCATTTCCAGCAGGATGGAGTTGGGATTCAGGTGTTTATGCCTGAGTGAACACTGACATTGTTATGATAAATAGCCTAACAATGGGCAACATGGATGAAAAGACGAGGTTGACTGCTGATTGAGTAGGATGTGTGGTTTTACTTTTGCTGAGGATGAGTCACACTGTAATTATAGACTGGGAATGACTTGGTCTTGGGTACCTTATATATGCGGTCAGGACCCGCTACGAGGGGCTATATGCCTATGTGATGGAGATCCTGTGTTCGAGTATGTTTTTGTAGAATTACCACACGCAATGATTAAGTGATCCCCATAAACTATTTATTGGTTACACTAGATTACCAACTATCAAGCCCCCCCTTTATTTTATTTTATTTTTTTATTTTTTTTTCCCTCTCGCTCTCTCTTCATCTTATCTTCGTCCGGCATACATCATCATACCTTTGGCGAACGTCAACTACTTTCTTTGTTTGCTCCATGTAAACTGCCGACTCTACGGAAAATTCTCATTTAATTTTGCAGATGTATTAAATTGGTTAAACGATGGCAGAAAAGAACCAACTACCTTTTTCTTGGTAGTAACTTGGCGGTAAGTGAAATAATCAGCTGAAGCTGTGAGAGAAATCAGGTGAATACTTTGGAGGATCTTTTGCGTTGATCAGTTGTATTGGTATACAATCCAGCCGTGGTTGGTATGTTAGGTTGGTACAGTAAAGCCAGATCTTATTAGACTTGGAAGAGCGGCCAAGATTCTCGCGGATAGATGCTGTGAGCGGGTATCTTGACGTTCTGAAGAGGACGGAGAGATACTTCTGTGGCGTTGGGAACCCTCATCATTGTAAGAAGAACCAAGAAGCAAACAAACTAGTCCTGTATTGTACGTTAGTGAAATGGGATCTATATTATTTATCAAACGAATATTACGTAGTGTAGACTTCAGTTGAATATTCAGTGTCAGGCATTGCTGGGTTGTACTTGAATGAGTAACTCGGTGTGATAAGCGGGGTCATCGTGAGGTATCTGATCAGTGGTGATCCGGGAGTAGTGGTGAAGTGGGGCCGAACTTGACCCAAAAATGCGGAGGCCGCCAGTTGCACTTGCCGAGGTGACGGGGCCGGCGATGACGGCGAGGATTGCAATTGCACTGCACTGCCGCGGCCTCAAACGTCCCGAAGCAGGGTTTATCGTTCATCGGACCATATGGGACTCATTATTGGTGAATGTATAGCGAGGTAAAATGTGGGGTAATAAGGTAGGTACACAGCAATACTGTAGCGGCCTCCAAACCCTTGAACGCTTTCGCAAACACCTCGATACCAAATCTCATCCATTCAGCCCTACCACTTAGCGAGATGTGACAAGTCACTGAGGCTGGTTCGTTCTCTTTGAGATGCAACAGTCTGTTTGGTTCCATGCCTGAACGATGATGCCATTGATGGATGTGCCAGAATACGCGCAGTGTCGGACTCGGCTATCAGGAGTTGAAAAAAGCAAGCCACCTCATTTTCGGGGAGCAACTCGGGGATATTATCAAAACGTTCTAGGCCCCGTCAAAGGGTCTCTTTCCGCCGGTTAAAACAGGCTTAGGGGTTATCGTCCACTGGAACAATTCGATGTCAGGCATTCAGAAAGACCCATTATGGAGGGCAGGTGAGACAGACAACCACCTTCCACCGACATCACATCCCCTCTACCCCACACTATTCTGCCAACCAGCATTTGAATCTTTCAGCCTGTTGCAGCTTCACTGCCTCAAACCTCAAACCGCACTGCCATCCGTTCGTCATACGCTAAGGCACGACACGAGCAGTGGTTGTCACTGTCAACGAATCTCTGTCGTCTTCAGCACCCTGCGGATTTACGCCGTACCCCAGCAGATTGATTGACTGGGGACTGCCCGGGAGGTTGGGTTCGATCTTGCATGGCCCTTCAAAGAAACGAGTAACGGCGTGGGAGTCCACTCTCGGTGGGTGGTCAGCAAAGACACCATGTTCCCGAATGAGGACGGCCGCGATTCACAACCGGGGGGGACAGCTGTCGAGTCGTCAGCTAGGTACATTCCGAACTTGCACCATGCGTCATGCCGCGGTATCGCCAGGTTTCCAACGTTTCCTGTTTCGCTGTCACCGCCGGCCTGCAATTCGTGCGGGTGCTTCTGCCATGCAGTTTCATCCCGTCTTGCGCTGTAAGGGTTACTGGACGGTTGCATGTGACGATGAATTGAGAGCTGTTGAGGATTTCCCCTTTCTGACTTTGGAGACCCGGCCACCACTGCAGTATCCTTGCAAGGCCAAATCACGGTTGCAAGCCACCTTTCATTCATGACCAGTGGCTAGGTTTGCTTTGCAACTGGTTGTCCTAACCTACAGCAATACCTACTGCATTGCATGCTGCATCTCTCTTGGGACCCGGTGCTGACGGGAGCCCTTGCGTTATGCTGATGTATGCTGCGGCTGCTTCTGACCCTCCTGATTCTGATTCGCACCTTACCCGATACGTGGAGACCAGTTCTTCGCTCTAGTCAACATCATGCTAGACCCTCTCCCAATTCTCTTTACATCACATGCATGGGATGACAAGGGACTATGTGTACCATAATACCTTCACGGCGCGTACACTCTCCTGGCCGTGTCCAAGTGGCGGCCCAGGAGATTGTTACTCGGTTTAATTATTTGCTCTCTTTCTCTGCTCACCTCCTACTAAGGTACTTCTTTCAGAGGTATTTTAACCCAGCTACTACCATGCTGACTGTATTGCTGCCTGGCGGTTAACGTATCCTTACTCTTCATGAATCCATACACCAGAGTATATAAGGGCTCAACGCCCGATATTTTCTTTATGTCGACTTGACCGTTCATCCCACGCATCCTCCAGTCGGGAGTTCCGACAATCTGGAGCCTAAAACCACTCAACCAAACGAACCCGATATATGAAGTCGATTGACTCTGCCTTTGCTGGAACACCTCGTTCACATTGAAGGGGAATACAAGTTCGGTTACGCCACTCTCTTCGTATTGTACCATAGGTGTATCCAGTTTGCAACTCGGCACTCTCACACGCTACACCGAACAATTCTCAAACTCGTCACCGTTAACCTGTTTCTCGTTTCACTACTGGTTGACTTTCTTTTCTCCGGCTTGTGAAATTCGGCGCAACGGGCGGGCCTGTGCCACGGCAAACCAACTTCAAAGAGAACGAGAGGCGGGACTCTTACGGCTACAGATACACATACACCACCTCAAAGGATACAACAAACCGAAACTGAGAAGTGACGACAAGCAAACAGAACCGATAATATAAGAGCACCATTCCTTCTTCCGCTGTTTCTTTCCCGGCTCAAATTCCAGACAACATCATCACAGACAGCGGTCTTCAGACCCGCTGCCCAGAAAACCAACATGGACACTCTACTTCAACACATGGCCGGGCAAACGGTCTCATGCTCCGATGGTACCTCTTCTACCGTGTCGAATCCTGCCGCCTCTACTACTGGCGCTCCTGTGACCGGCCAAATGGTCCTCTTGGACATGTTCTTCCCCGGCTTCTCAACATTCTCAGCTTTCGTCCAAAAGAACCTCAACATCGACCTCAACGTATACATCCCGCTCGTCCTAATATGCGGCGCCCTCACGTTTGCCTGGCAGTATTTTAGCGATTACTGCTGGGACCTGATCGACCGTTATATGATGTCAGTCGTGGATGTGCGCACCGACGACGAGATCTACAACATGTTGATGGGCTGGGTGGCCGCGCAAAAGTTTGCCCAGGGCGCGCGGCGCTTCGTCGTCAACACGAACCTGAACTCGCGCTTCTGGTGGCTGTGGCGGTACGACTACGACGACGAGGATGAAGACGGGACCGAAGAAGATGACCATGTCCAGTCCACCAAGGGAGGGAAGAAAGCCTTGGCGTACACGCCCACGTTCGGCAGCCACTGGTTCTGGTACAAGGGGCGCCTGCTGTGCTTTCGCCGGCAGCAGAGCCGCGACATGGCTGGGTATTCTCTCTCCAGCGAGCGGGAGGAGATTTCCATCAAGTGCTTTGGCAGAGATCCTTGGATCCTGAAGGAGCTGTTGCTGGAGGCCAGAGAGGTGTACATGAAGCGTGACGAGGCCAAGACGCTCATCTACCGCGGAACGACTAAAGGATCGGGTAGTGAACCCACTTGGCAGCGATGCATGGCGCGCACCTCGCGCCCTTTTTCCACCGTCATCCTGAACGAGAAGGTCAAGAAAGAGCTGATTGACGATGTGACGGATTACCTCAACCCGGCAACGCGCAGATGGTACGCCAACCGTGGGATTCCCTACCGCAGGGGCTACCTCCTCCATGGACCTCCTGGCACGGGCAAGTCTTCGTTGAGTTTGGCGCTAGCCGGGTTTTTCAAGATGAGGATTTACATCGTCAGCCTGTCCTCCATCGCCGCCAATGAGGAGAACCTCGCGTCTCTCTTTTCCGAGCTTCCACGTCGATGCGTTGTTTTGCTGGAGGATATCGACACGGCCGGCCTTACCCATACACGCGAAGATGGCAAGGTTGCGGCCATCGATGGCGGCAGCGATGACATGGTTCCCGGTCAAATAACCGCAGGAGATGGTACAGCCACCACCCCCACCCCAAGCGGCCGCCTCTCCCTCTCGGGCCTCCTCAATATCTTGGATGGCGTCGCCTCACAGGAGGGCCGTGTTCTCATCATGACCACCAACCACCTCAAGAAGCTAGACAAGGCCCTGATCCGGCCGGGGCGAGTCGACATGATCGTTGAGTTTGGGCGTGCAGATAAGGAGATGACGGCGGCCATTTTCCGGGCAATATTTGCCCCGCTTGAAGGCGACGAGGTTGACACACCCTCTGATGCCGATTCCAAGGACCTTTTCAAAACCCCATCTATTTCAACAAGCCCAGCAGGAGCAGCAGCAGCCGAAGCGCGGCGCGAACTCGCTCGCGACGAAGCCACTCTCAAAGTAGTCGAGTTAGCCGACCAGTTCGCGGACAAGATCCCCGCGCACGAGTTCAGTCCCGCCGAGATTCAGGGGTTTTTGTTGAAACACAAGCGGAACGCAGCCGCGGCAGTGGAGGGGGCAGAACAGTGGGCTGTGGACACACGAAAGGAGAAGATGGAGAAGGACTTGAGGGAGGCGAGGGAGCGGAGGGAGAAGGAGGAGAAAGCAGAGGCTGAGAATAAGGGGACGAAAAAGGAGGAGAAGGGTGGGAAAGACAAAACGGAAACGAAAAAGTCAAAAAAGAGCAGTAAACACAACAAAGTAACCTCCAAGAAGTCGTCGTCCAAAAAGTCAACAAGGAAAGCAGCAATCAGTGACGCTGACTCCTCCGACGATTCTACGTCATCATCGTCATCATCATCATCAACCAAATCCTCTTCATCCGAATCCGAATCCGAGTCTGAACCAGAACGTTTCAAGGAGAAGAATTCCAAGAGGAAACACTCGAAGAAGGAAAAGACCGACATCACTGCACCTCCACCTCTTCTGGTTAAGGAGGATACCATCAGGGTTCAAGTTGTTCCCGTCCAGCAAGAGGTTCAGACCATCGCCAATTACATTGCGCCGGGGACAGAGAAAACGGACGATCTTGCCAAGGCGGTTGTGGTAGTGGAGGATATACTCGTTCCCCAGATCTCGGTAATAGAAGTAAATGAAACGAGGTCGACGGGGTCGGAGGATGGAAAAGATTCTGGGTATGGAACGCCTTAGTAGTTTCCGGGCTCCTGGCTCCTGGAGAAGAAGGCGTTGCTGGTAGTACACTTGAGGCGTCTGTGGACCTTTCGACTCGGGTTTTATACGATTTATCATGACACCTGGATGCAGAGAGGGTGGTAAAATAGGATAATACAGATGTACGGCTGGATTGGAGTTTTAGTTTACGTGAATTGGATGAAATTAACGACACAATTTTCAATAACTGCCCGTGCTCGGTTTTTTTCTCTCAATTTTTTTTTTTTTTTCAGACATCATTAACCTAGGTCCACTACATCAACATGCGTGCAAACGTCTTGAATAATGAGCATTACCAGATTATATCATGTAACATGTATATTCACATAAAATCCCCAGTCCTCATGAGCTATCAACCGGCCCATGATCGCCGATGAGTATTAGTATAAGTTGTATGTGTAATATGTAAAAGGAATCGCAAAGCTTTCTTGCCCTTTAAGCCTTTGCTTGTTTTCTTCCTGTCTTTCCCTTTATTTCCCTTTCCTTCCCAACTCTCTCACTTTCTAGAGCCTGTTTGGATATCATACCAGCAACCTCTTTGCCTGAACCTTCCCAGTTCTAGCAGTTAGACACCCGGACTTCTTGTTTCACTTACTCCATAAAGTCATGACAAAGTGTACGTGATATCATCGTGGTCTCCAACTCTCAATGCCTGACCTTCGCCATCCTTATTAGTGTATAGTGGTATAATGCAAATTCCTCCCTCCCTTTTTCTTTTGTGAAAGATGTTTAAGCCTTGATGGAGTATGTCCTCTTGAACATGTCATCAACGTTTTCGAGGTAGTAAGTGCCGGGCTCGAGAGTAGAGACCTCACCCTTGGGGGTGTAGTTCTTCTGGAGATGGGCCTGCTTGCGGAGGTCGCACATCTGTACAATCGTTAGCATCTTGACTAGTATTTTTGACTTGATTGGGTCAGTCGGGAATACTCACAGCATCGTAAGACTCGGGGGGAACGGCCCGGCGAGCAGCAAGTCTGGCGGGGAGGTTGAGAGTCTTGGCAAGCTTCTCGGTGCTGCCAGTGACGCGGAAAGAGCAGAAAGAGGCAGCGAGACCAGAGCCGTAGGAGAAGAGACCTATCCTCTTGCCCTCAAGCTGGGCGCTGTCGACGTGGCCAATGATGGAGGCGAGACCGCCCCAGACGCTACCGCAGTACATGTTGCCGCAGAGGGTAGGGACCTGGATGGCGGGGTTGACGCGCTCCTGGAAGCGCTTCTTGGTGAGAGTCATGAAGGTCTTCTCAACGACCTTGTCGGTCAGGGACTTCTTGTAGTCCATGTCGCGAACCTCGGGAGGAACGTCGGCGAAGACGGGGCTCTCGGGGTTGGCGAGGTAGTCGTGGTAGAGGAGGCGAGCATACGACTTCTGAACGAGCTTGCAGGTAGGGGCGTGGAAGGCAAGGTAGTCGAAGCGGTCCAAGGGGGTCTTGGTGCTATCCTCAGAGTGGCCGTTAACACCATTGGTGAGGAGCTTCTCGCGCTGGTTGTAGGCGCGGTAGGCGCCGTCAAGAGCCTCGGTGTAGCAGTTGACGGAGTAGTGGCCATCGACGTAGGGGTACTCGCTGGTCAGGTCGGGCTTGTAGAAATCGTAGGCATGGGCCATGTAGCTGCCGCGGAGACCGGGCTCGACGGCAATAGGGGCGTTAGGGCCAACAAGCATGGCGACACAGCCAGCACCACCGGTAGGGCGGGCATTACCCTTGGCGTAGAGGGCGATATCACCAGCGACAACAATTGCGTCACGGCCGTCCCAGGCGGAAGACTCGATCCAGTTGACGGAGTTGAAGAACGCGTTGGTACCACCGTAGCAGGCGTTGATGGTGTCAACACCCTCGATGTTGGTGTTCTCGCCGAAAAGCTGCATCAGGACGGACTTGACGGACTTGGACTTGTCGAGAAGAGTTTCTGTACCAACCTCGAGGCGGCCGATCGTGTTGGTGTCGATCTCGTAGTTCTTGAGGAGGCGGGAGACGGCAGTCAAGGCAAGAGAGTAGATATCTGGAAGGGCACATGGCAAGTCAGCCCCCTGAAAAGGCGCGCAGAGGTGGATCAGAATAGGAGGGAAGGGAAAAACTCACCCTCACGATCGTCGCAGAAAGCCATCTTGGTCTGGCCGAGACCGATGGTGTACTTGC